TAATATTATTGGCCGTCAAGATGTTGATCTTGACGGTGCACCTTGCATTTATTATTTTCCCTCATGTGGTGCCGCCGCTTCTTCTTGGGACTTTCACATGTCCCCGCCACTTATCCCGTCGGTGGTCCCGGACACTTAGTCCCGCCGGTGGTCCCCGACACTTAGTCGCGCTGGTGGCCCCCGACACATTTCGCCACGGATGCCATTGCTTTTACTTAATCTCATGTGGCCCCGGGTGCCTTTCCCCGATGTGTCTCTTTCCCTCTGGACGTCTTGTCGCCCCATAGCGACCCCTCTCCTTAGTCTTTTCTCGTGCCTTGCGCGCGCTGATCTTTTTGGCCGTGGACCTTCGCTTTGAGGCTCCCGTAGGTGGCCCTCGCGTTGGCCCCTCAGTTGCCAGCTTCCCGCGGCTTCTGACCGCCCATCCCTCGACTTCCTCATTCCCTTATCGTTGTCGCGCTGCAATCGCTAGTTCAAAAGGCCCCTTCGCCTTAGTCCTATTGCCTTTCGATGGCCCTGCCGGCCTCCTGCTATGTTCTACGTGCCCCTGTTCTTGCGCTCACTCGCTTGCTGCCGCTAGTTCTTTCCTCCTGTGGCTCTCGCACCAGGGCACCGCACCTTCTTGTGGCCTAATCCTTTGTCTTTTCTCTCTCTTTCCTCCTCACTCCAGATTTCTTTGTTGTGCACAATTTGTCTACATCTGGTCTATCGAGTGATGAAAAGTTATTCGGGACCCACCAGTCTCGACACATTCCCCCCACTTATTCGCGATGTCCTCATCGCGCACCAATCCACAGTTAGTAGGGGTTTGGGGGATGTAGACGAAGGGAGAGAAGGGGCGTGGTAAGATAGGTAGTTAGCTCGCCAGGGTTCTTCCTAGAGCTTAGACCAGGTTGCTCATTTCCAATGTAGCTCTGTCTCTTTATCTTTCCCTCAATCGAGACACGAACTTCCTCCTCAGTCAACTCCGTATACCTAGCAAGGTAGCCCATAGTTCTTTCGACTTCAGTAACATGAGGCAGGCGATGCTCTCCTTGCTTCATGCACTTAACTACTGGCATACTGACTTTATTTCTAAGGTGGCAATTTGTTGTCATAACACAATTGGTTTTTTCATTATGTGCCTTGGCTTTGTTGATAACAAATTGTAGGCAAGTTTTTGGATGTGACTCAATGTCAGGCATTTGCTCTGGAAGGGGGATATTCGTCTAGTACAACTGTCGCATTTGCTGTGGTGATACCCACTTCGAATCAGTGAGCCCAGGCAGAACTCCCCTTAAGTGCTTCGTAATCTCAAATCTATCTTCCCATTTCATTGAGAAAACATTCTCGAGCAGAAGCCATTTTGGTTTCGCCTCATTCATTACTCTTAGAGTCATAAAAAATAATCTCCTTTTCGGCCCGTGCAATCCATGTTTCCCTTTTCTCTTTCCCCGAAGCTCGGGCTTTGCCAAATCCACATACATTTCTCCGGGGTTATTTTACCCGGTCTTTCTCAGGACCTGCCAATTCTGCATTCATATCCCTCTTTGTCTTTTCTTGTTCCTTGGTTAACTTTTTATGTCCGCTGCCCAGCTCATCCCTTGCGCTTCTCTTTTTCAGACATCTTGTCAGTCCTTCTTTTCAGGCTCATGCAACCCAATTGCTCACATATTAGTCCTTTCTTTTCCTGGACGTCTGGCCCGGCCCATTTTCAAGCTCATGCCAAGTCAATCTCACAAGTCTTTCTCTCTTCTGGGCATCTTGCCAGGTCTTTTCTCAGCTTAGCAAAGTCATTTATACAACCATCTTTCTTTCTTCTAGACATCTTGTCAGGTCTTTTCTTAAGCCTGCGCAAAGTCATTTATACAACCATCTTTTTCTTCTGGATATCTTGTCAGGCCTTCTCTCAAGCGTGCGAAAAGTCAATTACTCATCAATTTTCTTCAGGACATCTTGCCAGGCCTTCTCTCAAGCCTGCGCTAAGTCAATTACTCATCCATTTTCTTCTAGACATCTTGCCAGGCCTGCTCTCAAGCCTGCGCAAAGTCATTTACACATCCATTCTTTTCTTCTGGACATTTTGTCAGACCTTCTCTCAAGCCTGCGCAAAGTCAATTACTCATTCATATTTTTCTTCTGGACATCTTGCCAGGCCTTCTCTCAAGCCTGCGCAAAGTCATTTACACATCCATTCTTTTCTTCTGGACATCTTATCAGACCTTCWCTCTAGCCTGCGCAAAGTCAATTACTCATTCATTCTTTTCTTCTTGACATCTTGTCAGACCTTCTCTCAAGCCTGCGCAAAGTCATTTACAGATACATTCTTACGCTCATGGTATCCTTCTCGCTTTCATGTTTTTTCTTTGGTAGATGACACACCTTCCCCCCACTCAAAATGCGATGTCCCCATTGCACGACTGGTTCTCACTCGGAGGTACGCAGACCTTGGCCCACCAACGATTAGGCGGATGCCGACCCATCAGCCCGAAAAAGGAAGGCTGATCAGTCCTCCCTCTGCTGATAACTCACCTCATCCCAACTTCGTCCGACCTTTTGCCGCTTACGAGACTGGCGCCATCACTGAGGTACCTCCTCATATCTAGCAGGTAGGTCCAGTCCAAAACCTCCCTGGACCCCGTCTTGGCGCAAGGGCTTTCTCGCGAATCGTTCCTCTCGAGTGGTGTTTTCTTGGATCCGGCCTCTTCCTTTCAAGAGAGTTGGGGTTCTCTTTAAGTTCGCGAGTGCAGTTACGAAGACCTCGCAATTAGTCTCGAAGCGGTTGTAATGCTCCGGCGGGGAGGTGTCAATGCCCCGTGATGGTTGCGGCTTCCACCTGGTACTACGCCCGATTCCTCCCTCTGGACAATTCTGCTCAACTTAACGCGAGCAGCCGTGGTCCATTCCAAACGGCCGTGTCGCCCCTCTAGGGCATGGCGTGTGGTCGGGGAGAAAATAAAGAGATTTAGGAAAAAAAGAATGGCTTTCTCGCCCGTTTGGCACCACGCCCTTGACGTTTAGGTTTCAACATGAGGCGCAGTTTGAACTCCCCGACTAGAACTCGTTGTCGGGGTTAGGTCCGGACGGCCAGCATCAATCAAAGAGAAAGGTGCTTTGGTCCTTCAACCCTTATCCCTTCTTATGAGGAGCAGGTCGCGCTGAGACTTTTCCCTTAACAGGTAGAGGTCTTGGGGTTGCGATGCAGGCATTGCTATCCCCCTTATGTTGAGACCTGAGATTAGAAAAAAAAGGAAACTCAATCTCTTGTTATTTTCATGGTCGGCCCGACGACCTTACATCAAGTTGCCTAGGGTCCCCTCGCTATGCAATGCAATATTCAATCTTCAAGCACTCAGTCCCATGCTATTTCCAAGGCTGATTCTTATGGCTGGTCCGACAACCTCTCATCAATAAGGCCATCCACATGGCCGGTCCGGCGGCCATTTTCTCAATAGCCACTTCTCAAGACCGACCCTTCCGCCCATTCATCCTCAATTCTCTCATTCCTCGATACCCAATTCTCTGTGACCGTCTCAACGGTCCCTGCCTTTTTCGGCTTTAAGGTTCCGCCTTCTTTATCCTGTCCTTCTCATTCACATCTTTTTTCCGCCCCCTTGGCTATTTCAGCGGCCGACCCACCGGCCTTTTCCATCTCTTCCATTCATCTCATTGGCTATTTCAATGACCGACTCATCGGCATTTTTCATCTCTTTCATCCATCCATTGGCTATTTCAATGACCGATCCATCGGTCTTTTCCATCTCTTTCATCCATCCATTGGCTATTTCAATGACCGACCCACCGACCTTTTTCATCTCTTCCTCCCATTCCAGCACATTATCAATCAACCTTTCTCAATTAGCCTTTCTCAATCAAATATGCAGGGGACCCGTGTGCCTATTTCAGAAGGAATGACCCTTGTCAGAGGCCATTCCCGAACAACCTGGTTAGGGTCGTTCTTTTCCATTCTCAAGTCGAACAGCCTGGCTAGGGCCATTCCTTTCCATTTTCAAGTCAAACAGCTAGGTTAGGGCCATTCCTTTCCATTCTCAAGTCGAACAGCCTGGTTAGGGTCATTCCTTTCCATTCTCAAGTCGNCCTTTCCATTCTCAAGTCGAACAGCCTGGTTAGGGTCATTCCTTTCCATTCTCAAGTCGAACAGCCTGGTTAGGGCCATTCCTTTCCATTCTCAATGCTTGTGCCCGAGGGGGTGGGCCTCGAGGTTACGGATCTCATTTTTGTCTTGGAGGTTAGAAGGTGGTCATCTCATCTTTTACGTGTTGTTCTCTTTCTTCCATTTCTCACGGCAATGTACCATCCATTCCATTTCTCACAGCAATGTACCATCCATTCCATTTTTCACAGCAATGTACCATCCTGCATACATTCGACTAAGCGTCTAGCACTCGAGTTGGGGCTCGCGTCCCCAAGCAGAACTAGCTCACAGTGAGGGAGGGAAGGAAGGAAGAGGCAAAAATGGGAGAAGGAGGCAATGCAGATATGGGAGATAAGGTTCAAGTCTCTAAAGGTCTCTAACGAGGAAGGAGCCAACAGGGGCAAACGACATGAGACTTGGCATGAGGAAAGCGAGGGGGGACAAGACATGCGCGACGAACATGAGGAGGGAGAGGAGAGAAGGGAAAGTTCGCTTGAAGGACGAAGCGGCCACGACAGTTGTGAAGGGTATGGGATGGGGACAGAGATTCTTTTTACCTACAACCCGAAGAACCTTGCATGTGGATATAGCCCTATACAGACAGAAGACGAGGAGGACGAGGAGGAGGATGTACGAGAAGTCATAGAAATCAGCAGCGGGGATGAGAGGGATGAGATCTCAAGGCTTAGGGAAGAAGGGCGGCCTCCGATGCACCAGCCGGGCGAGAGGGCTTTCAGATGGGAGGACGAGTTTGGACCAACGCCCAGTCATTGGTTTCAGCAGTGGACCAATGTGATCAGGCATGAATGGATTGTCAAAACTCAGGAACTCCCAAGGGCAGGGGTGTAAGCCACACTGCTGGATTTTTTTAGCGAGGCAGAGTTACAAAAAATTGTAAAGATAAGAAGAGAAATCGAGACCTTCAGCCTGGGGGTTAGACAGCCAGCTGAGGAACAGGGTGGACCAAGAAGCGAGCAAGTCGAGGCTTAGGATAGCAATAGGCATTAGATGTTGATTGAGTGTTGGGCGAGAAACCTGGTTTTATTTCTCAATTGCAAAACATTGGAGCATAATTTGTAAAGTATGAGTAAGCTTGCAAATGATGAGTGACGGAAGGGCCAACTAAGATTGTGTCACAATAAGATATAAAATAGTTTTGAGGCTACTTCTGGATGAGCTACCTTGGGTACATAAGACAAAGACATGAGATTTGGGATGAGACCGATTGGGAGAGGGTGTATTATGAATTCTGGATGAAATAAGGATTATGTTTTTAAGAGGGGAAAATCTTGAGTACGGATTGACGAGCGAACCATAGCATTGAATGATTGGACGAGTACAAGAGAGGTTAGGGAACCTATGGGTTAAGGGGCATGAAAAATACTCCTTCCTTAGGAGCCTAATCCAACCAAGTCGTGAATTAGTCTGAGAATGGTCAAGATCTAAGTCATCGGAATGAGTGAAGAAAAAATGGGGCGCCCCTTTTCCATCGGCCGTCTCTATCTCGAATAGGTATGACCTATCGAGGCCCAGTCCAACCTGTACTGCCAGGTCCTCGTCTATGATGACAGCCTCACTGTCGTTATCGATCACAGCATTGAGTACCGCTCCATCGTTTATAATCTTCTCCACGACTCCGCTACCAAGTATATAGAACTCATCTGGAGGCACACCTTCCATTCCATCGAGAAGGACTGTCGCCATGCGATCCGCTCTGGCAGTCACCCCCGTTACCGCTACTGTAGAAGCCTCCGCCTTAGAGGCCCCCTGACCCCCCTCTGATAGAGGTATGCGAGTCTTCCGCGTGATCATCTGTAACTCATCACGAGCCGGCTTCGATGCCGCCAGGTACTCCAGAATAGAGCATTGCATGGGTTGTCGAAGGGCCCGCCTCAGTGGCTCGACCGTGTCAATCTCGTCCAGCGAACTCTTCATTAAGAACTTCTTCACTCCCCGCTTTCGAGGCGAAAGGATAACCTCCTCTCCATCGACCCGCTGCCCGTCCTTCTCCGTCATCACGTAGTCCGTGTCAGTCTTCTTCGATGTAGACCCTCTCGCCAACTTGGTGGCTGCCACCCTTATGGGTGTGGCCTTCATGTCCCCCTCAAAGGTTATCTTGATGCTCTGGCTCCTGACCGGCTCCTTTTCTTTACTCGGCTTTACTCTCCTTGCTTCGACATTCTCCTTCATCGAAGGGAACATCGATACATCTCCCAGACCATCTGCCCACTTGACGTACTTGCGGTCGTCAAGCACGACAAGTCCCTCATCTATTGCCCGTTTGATGTTCGGGCAATCCCTCTTGATATGATCTTCTCCTCTACAGTAGACGCATGAGTTCCTGGGAGTAGATGGTCTGTCGTCTGCGCTCCTAGAGATCGAACTCCTGGCTGCCTTGGGGTCAGGCGACTTGGGATATGGTTCTGATGAGACGCCATATCCCCCTCTCTCATTCTGACCCCGCGAATCGTTGCGGCGGTCTCCTCCAGACCCTCCTTGCTCATACCGCCCTTGCGAATCATTCCGGCGGTCCCCCGACTCATATCGCCCTCGTGACTCATCGCGTCGGTCCCGTCGGTTGTACCACCCCCGCGACTCATCGTGCTGCTCTCTCGCATCTCCCCCACGCTCAAACCGTCCGCGCGACCCATCTCGTCGTTCCGAGTCCCGATCTCCTCTTTCATACCTACCACCTCTGTAGCCATCTCGACCCGACCTCTCGTATCTGTCGTCCCTATATCCGTCTCGGTCCGATCTCTCGTATCTGTCGTCCCTATATCCATCTCGTCGGCCCTGATCTGTCTCCCATCGGCCGCGGGAGTCGCCTCTACCCCGATCGGCCTCATAGCGAGGGCTTCGCGCGTAATCATCCAGCCTCCTTGCTCGCGCAAACGGCTCGCGATCTCTGCGGTCTCGGTCTATCTCATCATCCCTACGTCGCCATGGCTCATCGTCTCTCTCTCTTCCCCTCGTACGATAATCAGTCAGCGTCCGAGGATTTCTATCCTCGACACTCCTCCAGGAATCGTTGTTCCTACGGTCCCAGCGAAGTGAATAGGGCCCTTCAGTTTGTCCCGGTAGGCCGTGGCCCCTGTAGTGGTTACAATCTCTGTAACCTGTCTCGTCAATCCCTTCACCATGTCTCTTATCTCCTTCACTTCCTCAGCCACGGCCTCATTCTTCTCCGACCAGGGATAGTCCTCAAAATCAGGACATCTATTAGTGACATACTCCTTGTAGAGAGAGAAGTCACGTCTCCTCATCCCTCTCCACACCAAGTCCTTGTATTCGTCTGCCTCTGCCTTTATCGCGAACTTAAGGACTTCTGGGAAATCAAGCCTGTTGCGCGAAAGGTCTCTAAGTATACTTTTTTGCCTACCTTTGGACAAGTGTCCGATGAAGAGTGTACAGTGCTCGACCTCTGAGATCTTCCCCTTCTTTATCAGCACGTCGGAGATCTTTTGGAAACGCATCCCAAATGCCCGTACGCTCTCATCTTCRTCTTGAGTCATTGTTTCAAGGTCCTTGATGGAATACTTGTTATCCTCCAATTTGTAAAGCTCAACGAGGTTCTTCTTGTACGTAGTCCACTTCTCATCCCTCGGTCGAGCTTCCTTAAATTCCCTACCGAGACTTGGGTCCACATTAAATAGGAAGTTCTCTATAATCTCTTCCTCTGACCACTGACTCCGGCTGACGTGTAGTTCTCTTTTCTCCAGATATTATGTGATTCCATAGCCCTTGAAGGTAGGAGGCTCTGAGGCCTTGTGCGTAATAATATAGCGATCCTTGCTCTCGTAAGGCAGCGGATGTGACTCCCCTGTCTCGGGGTCGAAGACTCGCCTGGGCGGCGCCCTGTCTCTATCTCTGTCCCTCCAATAGGAATCCCTCAAACTCTCTCTCTAGTCGTCTCTGTACCTGTCCGCTATGGTGTCCCTCCGCTCGTACTCGGGGGAGCGTCGCCTCGTCGCTTCACGTCGTCCGCTCGAGGTACTCGTCTTTAGAGCCTCCTGCGACTCTGTCGCAACTGGTTCGCCCCTCACGTCGGACCCTCCGTCATTGGTTTGGTCAGCCCATCTCAGCGGTGCTTCTCGCCTAATTCGTTCCTTCAGATCTCTCAGAGCTCGATCGGGCGATGTCTTGTACTCCTCTCTCGCTTCGCCCGCGGTCGGTTGTGGCCCCATCGTGTCGGGTTCCATTGGACCGCCTGAAGACGCAGTTAGGTATTTTAGCCAACTTTTACAGCCCGATCCTATGACAGTCGCTGCAGCCCGGACCTGCGACAGTTGCGGCAGCCCGGACCTGTTTCCTTGTCACGGCTCGCGTCCACCTCCAATCTTGGCTCTCGACTACCTTGATTACCACTCCGAGTATCCCGTATCCCAAACCTAACCAATGTCTCCCGATCGCCACCCCTCAAGAGTCTCCGAGCGTTTATCTCCGTCCTCCTTGCTAGTTCTCCTAGCCGTGTCCTGAATCGGTTAGCCCTCTAAAGACCCTCCTATTGCCATCCAAAGTCGTCCATTGACCTTTCTAGCTTCCWCTATCCTTCCAAGAGCTTCCAATTTCTATTTCCACTCCCTTATCTCTCAGACGGCTACGTGGTCATCTGTCTAGCCGCTGAGTTAAGTTAATGCTATAACCACTTGTAACCTCTTCGCCGACCGCTCCAATATGTCATAAAATGTCTCAAAGTCCTCCTCATCTCCACCATCTTCTATGGCCTCTAAAGTCTTTATCGACTCCTTCCAGTACCGATTGTGAGCAGCTAGCACCCTGAGTATGGCACCGTCTGTTACAACTTTCCCTAACTCCCCTGCTTTCCTGGCCTCGCTTATCTTCAACCTCTCAGCCTCTCGGGTCGTCTCGTACCATGCCCTTATCCGCGATCGCCCTTCAAAGGGTGTTACTCGGAGTACGTATTTTATCATTCGTCCTCATTCTATTACAATCCAAAGTCATGTCCCCCTAGCCTCACGCAGCGCGCGGCGGACACACTCTGTCTCCTCAACTATGCACAGTCTGGTATGGAGCTGGAGTTCTATGATCACTAACACCAATGGTCCGTCCAATCTCCCTAACATATGCAATGAGTGCCGATCCATCGTGTGTAATGCCGTCCCGCTCATGTCCTGTCGCTACTTCCCTGCGTTACTTTGTCTTCCGTTGTCTCGCACTCTGCAGATCGCTCACTAGTTTCTTCGCGTGATACGCTTCTAGCCTTTACCCTCTCCAGAAAGTATGATCTCCACACCTGGATAATCTCTCTATCCTCCCTAAACAGACTCTCTAACTCTCTCGTCACGAGTTCAGCCCTTCGCAACTTGCCCTCGTCTTGACACGACGAGATCTCCTTTAACTTGTCCCCCAACTTCTTTACCTGGTTCAAGAGTGGTTCTTTAACGCGCTTTCTCACTCTTCCGACTGCCTCACTCTCCTCTTCCATACTCAGTCCACATCTTTCTCCAGCTCACCCTCTCACCCTCGCTCTAGCCTCCGCTACCGTTTCATCGCGGTAGTGCCCCGTGCGCAGATAACCATGAGACCATATCATCACATCATAGGAAATCGAGGTCTGGAAGGTCACTCGCGCCAGTACATCAGCTCTACGCTCGTGGATCAAATCCCTAGCTCGTTGTCTGCGCTCACTCGCCGTCAAGTCCTCGTCTACGTACGCTCGGAGAAGTACTGCCACCGTGTATCCTGTGCTTACCAGTTGCTCTTCTACACACATCACCGTGGCCGTCCTTCCCGGCATTCGCTAGGCTGAGGCCTCGAAGAGAAATCTCACATCCTCCAGCCCTGCGTAATCAATCTCTGCCCGTCTCCTGCAGTACCTAATCAGATCGATTGGTCTCAGACAGTCCACCCAGTTAGTAACGTCTATGATGTCGTTAAGCGTCTCTCTACTCGGTGGCCCCCACCTCACACAAATGGCGTAGTATACTTCCTTGAAGCGCGGCGCTAAGCCCTCCCAGAGCGCGTAAAATGTGTGATCCACTGCTCTCCTCAAACGATCCACGCTCCCATAGGTCTGCCCTATCACGAAGGTAGGAACTCCGAATCGCCAATCCTCTGTCGGGTAGAGGGTCGGATGTGGTGGACCGTATACCAAGCTGC